GAACCTGAAGTTCTGAGAGTAGGCAGTCAGAAAGGGTAGAAATGGGAAAGTAAACAATAAATTTGAACCTACAAGGCTGAGCCAGGACTCCTGAGGATGGACTAATATCTGTGTTGGTCTCTCACTGCTGCCAAGCCTCCAACTTTGATGATGGGAGTGCCCTGTAGGAGAGGCTTAGGCTTTTCATCATGGAGTTGAACCTAATATCACCCAGGAATTGGAGGAACTGAAGGGGAATTTGGCAGAAACTGGAAGAATTGTGGGCATAGTGGCCGTCCCAAGCCAGCAAATAAGCAACAATGTGCATGAACTGAAATAGTGCCTCGTTCCTTGCCATTTCCAATCATGCTATCTTGTTGTAAAATATTTTTTGTCCCCAAGTGTAATGTTAATATGTTCACAAATTTGTTAATTCTCCCCTTTCAAGAGATGGAGTTTAATTACCTTCCTCTCGAGTGTGAGCTGGACTTAGTGACTCACTTCTAACAAACAGAATATGATGGAAGTGATAGTGTATGACTTTGAGACTAAATTATAAAAGACATTTCCACTTCCCTCCTTGCTTTCTCATAGATTGCTTGCTCTTGGTTGCTATGCCATGAGAATGACCAAATGCTGGTGGCTATGTCATGAGAACTCTTGAACAGTCCTTTGTCAATATGTCTATAAATTTAGGCCTCCAATAAACAGTCACAAGGGCGAGTCATCTAGGAGGGAGATCCTCTAGCCCTAGTCAAGCCTTCAGGCGAGGGCGGCTCCAGCCAACACTTTGATGGCAGTCTCATGACAGATGCTGAGCCAGAACTAACCAGCTAAAGATGCTCTCATATTCCTAACTTTATTTTTTTGCCTATAAGCCATTTTTTTCTAATGGAGTGAATCTCATTAAGATTCACAGAAAACTTACGAAGTGTTTAACAGAATTATATTGGCAGAAACACTACTAGCTTAGTCTGAAAATGGTAGAGATGGTACAAAAAGAAAAGAGCCCTTTGGACCCCAAAATTATACTAGCAGGAAGTAAGCTGAGAAAACTACACAGCTGCAAAAAAAGGGGGGGGGGTGCCATGCAAGGAAAAGGGAGGATGATTCAGAAGGTAGAACCAAAGGCATAGCAGGCAAAGCTATGGAGGATGTATAAATCGTCAGTAAACATGAGATTACACCTTGGGGAAATGCATTAGGAAAATGCATATCAAAACCACAGTGAGATACAACTTCACATTTATTAAGACATATATAATAAAAAAGATAGACAATAACATGTGTGGCAAAGATGTAGAAAAGTTGAAATCTTCACAAATTACTAATGGGAGTGTAAAATAGTACAGTTGCTTTGAAAAACATTCTGGCAGTTCCTCAAGAAGTTAAACATAGAGTTACCATGTGAGTCAGTAATTCTACTCCTAGTTATATACCTTAAAGGACTGAAAACTTTTGTATGAAAACTTGGTCATAGCAGCATTATTTATAATAAGCCAGAAGGTGGAAACAACCAAAATATCCATTCAATTACAAATAGATAAACAAAATATGGTATATCTATACAATGTAATATTATTCAGCCATAAAAAGTAATGATGTACTGATACATTTTACAACACAAATGAACCATGAAAACCTTATACTAAGCAAAAGAAGCCAGACACAAAAGGCCACATATTGTATAATTCCATTTATATAAAATGTCCACAATAAATCCAATGAAACAGAAAGTAGATTAATAGTTGCCAGGGGCTAAAGGGAATGGGGAGTGATTAAAATGATGAAAATGTTCTGGAATTGGATAGTGGTGATGGTTGCACAACATTGTAAATATACTAAAACCACTGAATTATATACTTTAAAAAATGGTAAATTTTATAGTATATTAATTATACCTTTTTAAAAAGAGGAAAAAAAGATCCACGGAGACTCACTCCTGGAGAAATCAGACTGAGTTTTAATGAAGGAAATTTCAACATTTTCCCAGAAGGATTTGAGAATTTCTATGGACCAGTGACTTTCTTGTGCCTCTCAATTCCCCTCCTTTTAAACAGTAATGTCTATAATGGTTATCTGTTGACTGTCCCACCATTGTATTGATATGCAGGGAATGATAACTTGTCTTTAGGTCACAGTTATTCAGATTGAGAGGAGCTGGACTTCAGAAATTATATCTAAAGAATCTCATCTGCACCTAAACCTAATTTAGATTGTATATTAGTTTGCTCCGACTGCCATACAAAATACCACAGACTGTGTGGTTTACACAACAGAAATTTATTTTCTCACAGTTCTGGAGGCCAGAAGTCCAAAATCAAGGTGTAGAGAGGTTTGGTTTCTTCTGAGACCTCTCTACTTGGTTTGCAGATAGCCACCTTTTCATTGTGTCCTCACTTGGTCTTTCCTCTGTGCATGCACATCCCTGGTGTATCTTTGTATTCCTCATATCCTCTTCTTAGGAGGATATCAGTCAGATTGAATTAGAGCCCACCCTAATGGCCTCATTTTAATTTAATCACCACAAATACAGTGTCGTTCTGGGGTGCCAGGGATTAGGGCTTCAACATATGAATTTGAGTGGGGGAGACACCATTCAGCCCATAACAGATGGCAAGTGTATTGCATATTTTTTTAACTTTGTATTTTCCTGATGCATCCCCTAAAACAGGCTGTGAACACCCCACCAAGTGACTGGGTGCACCAGTGTGATAAGGCTGGTTCCTTCCACAGGTTCCCCCTTCTTGTCTTCTCCTGACTGTGACCTCGTGACATTCAAGTACACCAATAAAATTCCCTCATGCCTTCTGCTTGTGTACGCCACCCTGACCCCAATAAAAGCACTTTCATGGGGGTTCTCATCCTCTCTCAGCTCCCATCTTCTGGGTTGAGCCCACTTCCTTGGCACTCTCCCTTGGGGCCCCCTGCATGGCATGCTAGGCTTCCCTCTAGGACCTGTGAATAAATCCTCTAATTTCATATGCCTCTCTGAATATAATTTCTACAGCCTTGTTGGAATAACCCTAAAGACCCCATAGGGAGACTTACTCCCCAGTTTACAACACAGCAAAATTCTGGACTTTCAGCTTATTGATGCTCAATGGGATGAAATGGGGGGGTGGGGCTTAGAAGAGATGAGTATATTTTTCATGTGGGAGGAAAGTAAATAATTGGTGACCAGAGGAAGACTGTGATAGTTCTTGATATTACTCCCACCAAGAGGTGAAGCTTAATGCCTCTCCCCTTAAGTGGGTGATGGACTTAATGACTTACTTCCAACAAATAAAATATGGCAGAAGTGACAGTGTTATTTCTTCCAAGACCAGGTCATAAAACGCACTGGAGCTTCTTTGGGGAAAGTTTGCTCTGAACACACAAGCAGCCTATGAAAAGGCCCTGTGGCTGGAACTGAGGCTTCCTGCCAATAGCCATATGAGTGAATCATATTGGAAATAGACCTTCTAGACTCACTCAAGCTTTCAGATGACTGCAGCCCCAGGTGACATCTTTACTATAACCTCACGAGAGACCCTAAGCAAGAACCATTCAGCTAAGCTGCTTCCAGATTCCTGACTCCAGAAACTATGTGAGGTAATATTTATTATATTAAGCTGCTGAGTTTCAGGTAATTTGTTATCTAGATATCAATAATATACTAGGTCTTTATAAAAAGTGGAAAATTATATACAGACTGGATGAGTGGCCCCCTTTATTTGTTACCTACCTAACCTCTGTAGGCATCTAAGTTTATGACTACTACAAAATCACTTTCTTAGATTATACATATCTCTAAGACAGAGGTCATGACATCTCTTTGTCTTGTGTCCCTTCCCCAGGATGACTAATTTAATAAGTCTTCCAATAAAGCCTTGCTAGATGCCTGGCCAGTGTGGCTCAATGGGTTGAGCATTGTCCCATGGACTAAGGGGTCCTGGTTCAATTCCTGGTCAGGGCACATGCTGGGGTTTTGGGCTCCATCTCCAGTAGGGGGTGTGCAGGGGGCAGCTGATCGATGTTTCTATCCCTCTCTCCCTTCCTCTCTCTGAAAAATAAATAAAACTATATATATATATATATATATATATATATATATATATATATATATATATATATATCTTGAGAGGCTTGGGTGGAGAGCTATAGCAGCCAGTGTGTGTGTGTGTGTGTGTGTGTGTGTGTGTGTGTGTGTGTGTCGGGGGGTAAAGGTGGTAAATTTGAAGTGGTGGTGGTGATTGTGATGACAGAGGAGGTGGAGGTGATGATGGAGGTGGTGGTAGAGATTGGAGGTGGTGGTGGTGGTGGTGGAGCGGTAGTAGAGGTAGAATTGGAGTTGGTGCTGGTGGCATCTCGGCAGAGCACTCTGTGAGTTCTGTCATTTGAGCTGGACAGAGTGTGGAACTGCTGTCCAGGGCACATGATACAACCATACGCCCTATAGTGCTCTCATTGTTTAACCCGCCTCTTACCCAAGGGACATTTTGCTCTTGAATTCTTCACTGTGAATAATTATGTCAACAAATTTGTAAGTGATAACTCTCTCCTGATCATTCCCCTCTATCTACTAACTAATAAATGTTGAGGTGGGGGTAACAAAGTTTGAAGAGGCTTAGCTCTTGAGAGGTATTTGCCTGTGTACAAGTGTGCTGTGGGAGAGGTTGGGCAGATTTGGGGAGCAAAGGCTGCCAAAGGGCTCCTAGGTAGAAAGAACGAAAATGAACTTGTTCTTTCTCCCTTCCTCTCCTTCTTCAAGTTGTCTTGTCTCAACAACTGCCAGACATGATAAATAAGAGACAGACGATTTATTCCACATTACCCAAACTGTAGGACCAAGGAAGAGGAGTGCAAAGCTGGCCTAACATCCTCCCTTTCTAATCATTTGCACTGAGGAGGGCCAAACCACTTAAGGGTTGTGGGGAAGAATGAGGAGGGCGATTCAGATGAAAGCACAGAACTTGATGCCAGGAGTTCAGAAAAGGTTACAGATATTCCTTCTCTTATTCAGAATCCAGGACGTCTTCCTATTTGACAGAGATGTCTGAGCCTACTGGTTCACTCAGAGAACCTGACCTCATACTGCTGCTGCAGGACATGGTGTCAGAGGAACAGTTCAGCATCAGACTGCAGAAATTTTTATTGCTGAAGTAGCAGAGGAATGCTGGGAAAAGACAAGGGGATGGGGAGAGGAAAGTCAGAGAGTGGAAGGAAAGTGGCAAGCATGGTGAGGCTAAAAGGAAGTCCCTAAGAACCTATCCCCGTGGACTGTCAGCCCCCTCTCCACATTTTCTCTGCCCTGACCCACCCATGTCCCCTCCTTCCCAGGGCCCTCCAGGCCACTCACCACAGATGACATATAGGATAAACACCATCCAACCAATGAAATAGCTCCACCCGATGGGAACTGATAAATTCCTCTTCAACTCGAAGATCCAGACATTAATAGGAAACAATATGAGGGTGGAGAAAACTAAGGCAACTAGAAGAGAGGAAGCAGAGAGGTCATCCCCACCCAAGTATCCCATAGGGACTCTTTCTCATTTGCTGAGCTACAGCTTCAAACCACAACTCCCATCAGTGCACACAGGGTACATGGCCCCAGAGGTTCCTAGGAATCAGCCCCTCACCTCCACCTCTCTAGTGGCCAGGAACTGATGGAAATCAATTTTAACTCAATAACTTCCAGTTCTGTTCTACCACCACCCACAAAATCCCTACCCCACTGCCAAAGAAAGGAAGAGGGAGAAGTGCCTAGGAAGATGGAGTTAGGAGAAACTAAGGATCTTTTCCAGAGCTAAGGGGCACCTTCACAGAAGCTCATGATAATCCCAATCCAGCCAAACAAGGACAATCTCTGAAGACCAGGAATGTATGGCAGGTGCGACCAAATGGTGAAGATGAAGCCCAGCACCAGGGCCAGGCTGAAGGTTATCTTGGCCACCCCAAAGAGCGGGTGATTTATCCACATCTTAAAATTGTCTGAGGAAAAGGAGAAAACAGGATAAACTAAGGATTCACGAAAGACAAAATATAATCAAATGAGCAAATATAAGAAAATGTTCAGGCCCATTAATAACCAAAGAAATGCACATTTGAGATAACAATAAAATATCACTTTCACTTATTAAACGGGCATTGTTTTTTTTTATGGAGATTGTTTGATAATCCTAACTATATAACAACAAATACCTCAATAGAAAAAATAAGCAGAGAACTTGAACTGCAATTCTCAAAAGAAGAAATATGAAAGTCCAACAAACATATGAAGCTCAATACAAAGAAATTCAAATTAAATGTGATTTTAAAAAATCTATTAAATTAGCAAAGATCAAAACAAGAGTGATGATATCTAATGTAAGAAAGGATTTAGGAAAAAAGACGTGCTCTCACACACTGCTGGTGGGCAGCATTTCTGGTAAGTGATATGGCACAAAACAAAGCAAAAACAAAAACAAAACACCCTAAATTGTTAAGGCCCTTTGACCTAGCAATGCTCCTTTTCAGAATTTACATTAAGGAAATAATCCAAGATCACACCAAAATATATATAGAGAGATCTTCTTTGCAGAGATATTTATATATCCATCAAGAGATTTGTTAAATAAATTATAGTGTACCCACACGTTGGATTATTATATGTCATTAAATATGATGGACAGATTACTATCTCTGAATAGAGTATCTCTAGGAAGAAAGGAGAAATGGGAGGGAGCCTGAAAGCCAGAGGTGGGAGACTTATGTCACTATGTAATCTTCTGTATTTTTTTAAAATTTTCTCTCTGTTTATATATTACCTAATCAAATAAATTTTAAACATAGGTGATGTTATAGTAGTTATTTGATGATATAAGCAAATGCTCACAACTGAAAAGTGGAGTTTGCAACACAGGGCATGTAGAATGATTATAATTTTAAAAAATAATATATACTTATTAAAGAAAAAAAAGAATTGTACACCTAAAAACCTATACAGTTTTATTAATCAATGTCACCCCAATAAATTCAATAAAAGAATAAAATGTTAAAATGTATCTGTTTATTTGTATTTATGTTATGTATATGTACACACAAAAGACTGGAAATAAGCCCATTATACTGTCACTTGTAATTAGATCTGTGTAGGGAAATTTTAGGTGATTTTTATTTTATTTTTTAAATTTTCTGCATTTTCCCTAATAACTGTACAATGTTTTGAATTAAAAATTATACATTTAAATTTAAATATATATACTTTTTTTTAGAAGAATAGTTTATTGATTTTTCAAAAGAGCGGAAGGGAGAGAGAGAAACATCAATGTGAAAGCACGACATTGATAGGCTGCCTCCTACACACCTCCAACTGGGGATCGAGCCTGAAACCTGGGCATCAAACCAGCAACATCCTGGTGTACAGGACAATGCCCAACCAACTAAGCCTCACCGGCCAGGGCTAAGTATATATACATTTAAATTTAAATATATATATATATATATTTCTTTTTTTTTAAAGTTAATAGTCATTGCTGGCAAAGGTACAAGGAAACAGGCCTTCTCATACATTATTAGTGGAAGTATAAATTGCTATCATACTTTTTGAAAGCAACATGGAAAATGTTATTAAGAGCCTTAAAATATTTATATTATTTGATCCAGTAAACCCACTTTGGGAAATCTATACCAAAGAATTAATACTAAATACAGAAAAAACTGTATGATTAACAAATCTTGATACTTCTATTTTCCTCAAGTATAAAGTTAGAAATAAATTAGCCAAGAACAGGAAAATAAAATAGTCAAGTAAGAGGTAATAAATGTGTTACATTGAATACTGTAGTTACTTATAATAAGAAAATGATTATATCTCATAAAGGTAAATTTTAAAATAATAGAAAAAATTTAAAAGATATAACATTTTTTAAATAAAGAATAAATACATGTAGGTAACAGTCATTTAAAACTTGTTCAATTTTCTTTTTTAAACCAGGAAAAAATTGAGTGTTCAGCACACTGCTCCTAGTGCCTGTCTGAGTAGCACTACAGAGCAAATTAGGTGCTTATGTGAGTTTTGGGGCCAGACACACCTGAGTTATAATTGTAAACATAACATTATTAGGTTTATCCATATGAATTGTCTCTTTTTTGTAGGTGAAAACCAATCAAATATTGGCCATTTCATGTGGCTCAACCTAACAGTTTTATGACCTTGAGCAAGGTACTTAATCTGAGTCTCAATTTTTTCATCTGTAAAATAAGGATAATTGTCTCATCAGGGTTGATTAAAGATTCAGTTAAGCAAATAAAATAAGCATGTAATAAATAACTTTTGTTTCCCCAAATGTGTTAAGGCGATATTACTTTCATAATGGAAGAAAATAATAGCTATGTAACTTTTTTTTTTTTTAATGTTAACGAGAATGAAGAGATGGAAATGGGGAGGTCAAAGGTTCTGGTTTTCCACAAGATCTGAGAAAGGAGGCCCACATCTGGAAAGTAAGAGGACAGCACAATGTGAGATGAACACGAATGGGGACTGAAGCAGCTGCAAGAAGCCAGGAAGGAAAGGACAGGGAGACCAGATGTGGACACCAGAGCTGACCCAGAAAAGCAAAGCCTGAAGCCAAAGGGAAGAACAGTGGCTGGGACTAGGGCCTAGGGAAAGCATTCTGGGGACTCCTCCCAAAACTCTGGATATGCGAAAGCCTAGAGAAAGGAAATCCTACCTTGATGGGGCTCTTCTTCCAGGATAATGGTGAATTATGTGCTTAATGAGTGATTCACATACACTGAGAGTCCAGGCCCCTCACAACATTTTTATATGTACAGACTTGACAGCAAGCCTTATCAAAAGCAGTGACACTTTCCATTGGGTCAGGCAAATCAATTTGGCCAGGCTGGGGGAGAAAAAAAGGATCCTTGGCAGTCTCAGTGCTAATGGAGTAATTTTGTGGGCCAAACAGTGAGGATGACCAGAAGGAGGGGAGAAGAATCCTGGGATGTAAATGGAGAAACCAAGGCAGGCTGGAGGCCTGGAGTGCAGTTTGGGGGTGGAGGGTCTCACCTTTCCCATTCTCTGAGATGAGACAGTTCTTGGATGTGCAGATCTGCAGGAGCCCCATGGACATGATATGGGCTGATGTGTAGATTTTATTTCTAAGGTGTGTAGGCCACTGCTGGTAGAAGCGGCACGCAGAGATGTACAGCCATTTCTTAGAGAAGACCATGACCAGCAGCAGGATGAAGGCAATCAGACTGAGCTCTGAGGCCAGCAACTGCGTCTTCCAGCGAGAACTGTGTGTAATTTTCCATTGCAGGGGCAACACAGAGTTCCGGTGGCGATACATCTTGGGCAACTGCCGGTTTCTGCGGTTGGGAGAGACATAATCTGGCGACCCCCTTCTTGTCCCAGCTTTACCAGTACCCCATCTCTCCTTCCAACACTTCCCTTCCTTTTCAAGCTTCTGATGTTCATCTCTGTCTCTCCCTGACCCAGGGAACTCACTCCTAATGTCCCTTGTCTCCATCTTGAGTATCTCCTGTCTCCCCTTCTATCCTCAACCCCATCTCCCCTTTTCCCTTCCTAGGCTCGGTTGTCCCTCATCTTCTAAATATTTTCATCAAGCGGAGCAGTTGCTACCATAAGGCCTGGGAGCTGGGAAAGAACAACCCATCTAGCAGGACAGGGCCCCTAACTGCCATGGAATATTCCTGGGGGGTCAGTTAAATGGGGGAGGGGCCCATGGTCTCACCTCCAACTCTGTCTTGAAACCCTGCTCCTCAGGTCTCAGGTCAGACCTGTGGCTCTGATGCCTCCCTTCACCTAAGAGCAATGGTTTCTGAGGGTCTCCTTTCTCTTCCCATTTCGTCTGTTCTAACACCAACCCCAAATGCTCACTGATGGAGCAGGAGAAGGGAGAAGTCTGTCCCCAGGAAACATTTGGAAATGTCTTCCAGAGGTGTAATCAACCTCACTACTTCCCCCAACCCCTTCACCTCTCTCCCACCGCTACTCACTTTCAGTCAACAGCTGCCATTCCCTTCCCCCTTCTTTCTTTGTACCTTTTTCCTCGGCCTCAGAATGGGAGAATAATGGACTTTCCTCCTTTTTTTTAATTTTTAAAAAATGTTTTCATTGATTTTTTTAGAGAAAAAGAAAGGAAAAGAGAGATAGAAACATCAATGTGAGAGCAAAACATGGGTTGGCTGCCTCCTGCATACCCCCTACTGGGGACCGAGCCCACAACCCGAACCTCTCAGTCTATGGGACAATGCTCAATCCACTGAGCCACACTGGCAGGACATGGGCTTTCCTCTTAATAGCCTTTTGAACCTGGATGAGTCATAGAGCTTCTTCTTCTTCATTTTTTTTTTTAAGTGACACCAGTCTATGTTTTTTCTTTATTGTTTTTTTTTTTTTTTTTTTATCCTCACCCGAGGATATTTTTCCATTTTTTGTACAGATAGAGTGGGAGGGAGAGAGAGAGGAAGGGAGAGAGAGACAGAAACATCAACGTGAAGGGACACATTGAGTGGCTGCCACCCGCACGACCAACCAGGGCCGGGGACAAACTGCAACCGAGGTACGTGCCCTTAGCGGGAACTGAACCCGGGTCTCTCCGGGCCGCAGGCCGACGCTCTAACCGCTGAGCCAAACCGGCCAGGGCTCTTTATTGGTTTTAGAAAGGGAGAGAGAGAGAGAAAGGGAGAGAGAGAGAGAAACGGAGAGAGAGAGAGAGAAACACTGATGAGAGAGAATGTCGATTGGCCGCCTCCTGCATGCGCCCCACTGGGGATTGGGCTCACAACGTGGGCATGTGCCCTGATCGGGAATCGAACCGGCGACCTCTTGGTGCATGTTTCAACGCTCAACCACTGAGCCACACCAGCTGGGTGAAGGAGAAAGTTTTAAGAGAAGGCAGCTGGCAAGTCTGGTCCTGGAGCTAAACAGAACTCAGAGAAGTAGGCACAGTGGGTGATGTGGCTACTGAGTGCGTGCATGTGTTGTGTGTAGACAGAAGTCTCATGATCTTACCCTCCTCCAGAGATGACATAAGAAAAGTTGTGTGTGACCTTGAGCTAATTACCAGATTTCTCCATTTCCTTAGCTGTGAAATAATCACATGTATTTGGCTTCCCGGGGGGATTAGGGATCACTCATGTAAATTTCCAGCAGTCAATGAAATTACATTTGCTGCACAAAATGTGTCGCTTTCAAAAATCCTGGACCCTTCTCTTTGTGAGATGACAAATCTGAGTCCACTCCTCCCTACACAGAGGCAGAAATCGGAGTCATAGAGCTTCTTTATGCCTCAGTCCACTCATCTGTAACACAGGGACAATAATACTTGTCTCAGACTTTGTTTGAATTAGATAATGAACAGAACGCACTCATTGGTTCATAACAATTTCCAGAAAGTGGTAGTTACTATTGTTAAATTATCATTTTAGTTATTTTTGTGCTCTTTTGCTAGCAAATGGAGAGGTTTTTGGCAGACATCCTTGCATATCAGTTGCTGCAAATGGTGGTGCAGAACCTAAGTTAATTTAAGCAAAAGGTGAGTTAATCATGAATCCTAAGGTTGTGTGTATAGCTGCACCTCAGGAATGGTTGGAATCAGGAATCCACACACTGGTAGTCTGAGATCACGGTGCTGTCGTGGTTGGCATGGTTGGGTGAGGCCCCACTTCCAAGTCTCTGAGTTTTTGCTGTGTCTTTACATGATCAGCAGGATTGTGTCATTCCCTGGATTGGTTTTAGTTTTTCCTGGAGTCTCTAAGAGTTTCTAATAATAATAAACAGTTCTAACAGCTAACACAGAACAACATGGAAGAATCTTGGAAATAATTCCTGAAAAACAGAACTCCCAGAAGACTACACCATAAACATTTTTATAGAGCTCATAAACAAGCACAGCTAAACAAAACACTGTTTATCCATACGTACTATTATGATTGCATGTTTATTTTATTTTTTTATATCCTCACCAGAGGATATTTTTCCATTATCTTCAGATACAGTGGGAAGGAGGGAGAGAGAGAGAGAAACATCAATATGTCATTGACCAGCTGCCTCCCATGACCCCAACCGGGACTGGGGACCGAACCACAACCATGGCACGTGCCCTTGACCAGAATTGAACCCGAGACTCTTTGGTCCATGGGCTGATGCTCTAACTGCTTAGCCAAACCGGCCAGGGCAATTTGCATGTTTTTTAAAAACAGTGGAATGATAAACACAAAAAATAATATTGCCCATTGCTCAGGGGAAGCAGGGGAACGGGACAGGGAGGATTACACTGGCACAGAGACGTTCCTGGCAATAGGTTATTGGTTTCTGATTTGGGTGAAAGGTAAATGAGTATTCATTATATTAAAATCATTTATAACTATTATTTCTTATAATCCTGTGAATGTATCAAATATTGTTTTTCAAAAGGTAATTAAAATAGTTCAGGAAAGGAAATGTAACCTTAGTGATTATTAGTTCTGCATTGAAAAATATTTATAAGTCACAATGCATAAGCTAAACATTGTTAACTGAGTTTCAACTTTCAGAATCAACAGATGGACAAAGCACGGAAGACTTAACTATAGCTACAAAACTAAACATAGCTGTTATCAGCCTTGATGTTGCCCAAGTAAAAGCCTAGAAGGGGTAAACTGGAAGGAGGAAAGAGAAGGAAAACTAAAGGGAAGGGTGGGGGACCTGACAACAGGGTTGTGTTAGATGTGCTCTGCACAAGAGCACGCAGCTGAGGGGGTGAGAGCTGAGCTCTGCATTTTACTGGACAAGTCATGCTCCTTTAAGAGGTCTCCACTGGCCTGAAAGAAGAGGCACTTTGTTCTATATTTCATAAGGTTGCTGCTCCCCACCAAGCCATTTACCACTACATCTATTCATAGGGGCTGTCTTTTAACCACAAGGTTAAAGGCACAAAGGTGCCTTATGGGCTAGTGGCAGCCAACTATCTTGTAAGGCTGTGTATCAGTGAGAATTCTGTGGTTGCAAGCACAAACCCAAACTAAGTTAGGCAAAAAAGGAATGTATTGGGGCAATACTGAGTAAAACATAGACTCAAAGAGGAAGCTGAACATCCAGGCCTAGAACTAAGCAGGAACCAGAGGAACATGGGAAGGTGGATGCTCTGACTGATGGCTTACCAGAACCACATGGACTTGGGGAAGAACAGTTTCCCAAAAGAAAGGAAGCCAAGCATTTAAAAAGTAATGATAACTTGGCTCATACAGGTACAGAGTGCAGCCAGAACGGAGTGCGAGGCTAGGGGGTTTCTAAAACGGAAACTGCCCACCATTCTATTGGTGAGGACAGGTGCCTGGACGTCCCTTATGGGATGTAGCCTCTCAATGACTGTGGGCAAAGCTGACCTGGAGAACATGGACTTGGGCGTACACAGCCATACTGGTCACTCCTTGATTGTCCACGTGGACTTGCTCTGCTTCCTACATGACACCCAGAAACAGTCCCACTCCAGGCCAGTACACATCAGTGTGGATCTCCTTTGCAGCAAGCTCCCAGGCTCCTGGCAATGTAGGATAATTCAGTGGCAAAATTCCCTCTCTTTTGCATCTGTAAAAGTATGCATCCTTCTTTCATGTGGGCCTGCTGGTGGTGGTATGTTCCTCAAACTCTAATGTGTGTGCTGATGACTTGGGTATCTCCGTAACATGTAGATGCCTCACCTGTAACAAGGTCCCAGGTGGTGCCCATGCTGCTGGTGTGAGGTCACACACTGAGTAGGAAGGCTGTAAAAGACACCCCCCCCCCCCGAATGTCTCTTAACCTAAAGGGTTTGGGCACACAGGAAAATGATGGACAGACCTGCTTATCAGTGTGTGTCCTGCTTGCCTGCCCCTGCCCCTGCCCCTGCCCGAAATGTCATTGCCTTTTATGTACCAACTGAACAGAAGTGGTAAGAAAAACAAATTGCTGCCAAAAAACAAAGCAAAAAAAAAAACAAAACTGCAAAATTAAGTGCTCTTTGAAAAGCAGTTAAAAGAATGAAAATATAAGCCACCGACTGAGAGAAAATGTTTTTTCTTGTTTTTTTCTTTTTTTTTTTTTTTATCCTCACCGGAGGACATTTTTCCAATTTTTGTACAGATAGAGTGAGAGGGAGAGAGAGAGAGAGAGAAACATCGACGTGAAAGGGACACATCGAGTGGCTGCCACCCGCACGACCAACCAGGGCCGGGGACAAACTGCAACCGAAGTATGTGCCCTTAGCAGGAACCGAACCCGGGTCTCTCGGGACCGCAGGCCAATGCTCTAACCGCTGAGCCAAACCGGCCAGGGCAGAAAATGTTTTTTCTTTAAATTTTTTTT